CCCCCCCCCCCCCCCCCCAAAAAAAAACTAATTGTGGAGAATATAGTCTTTAGCGGCCCTCTGTAGGCCTAAATTGGGAACTGAAACCTTCTTTGGACTAAACTCGGGGACTGGAGCCCTCTCTGTGCAAAACGCGGGGACAGGAGCCCTCACTGGGCTAAACTCGGGGACAGGAGCCCTCACTGGGCTAAACTCGGGGACAGGAGCCCTCACTGGGCTAAACTCGGTGAACAGGAGCCCTCCATGGGTTAAACTTGGGAACAGGATCCCTCTTTGGGCTGGATTCGGGGGCTGGAGCCGTCACTGGAGCGACCTCTGTGGCTGGAGCCGACACTGGAGAGAGCTCTGGGGCTAGGATAAGGACGGAGGAAAGTCCTTTTCTCCTCATTCTCCTCTGGTTAGAGGATATCGGCGCGGCCGGCGGGCTGGAGAGTGCCGCAGCCGGCGGGCTTTACTGAGGAACCGCCGGTGGGTTTGGGAATGGCGCGGCCGGCGGGCTTGACATCGGAGCGGCCGATGGGCTTGACTGAGGATGGAGGGGACTATGGTGTGATGCCTCTGGGCTGGCGGAGAGTAGAGACGGGATCCGCAGACGAACCGAGCCAGGTTGATGTAATCGGGCAGGATCCACCTGGACCCTGCCAGTGGCATCTGTTGAGCGATCCCCTCATCCAGACAACCCCAGAAACAGTCCACAAGAACCCACCGGTCGAAAGACGTCTGCTTGGAGCAGGTGGGGAATTCCCTGATGTAAAGTTCGAGGGGACGGCCATCTTGATAGATAGAACATAACTGCTCCAGGGGATCAATTAAAACAATTGTAAAGAAAACACTTTTAAACAAAACGGGGAGAAGGGGCGCCGCTTACTGTCTTGGTCTGGTATTCTGTCATTTATGCTACTGTGTTGGAGCATGGAGCACGGAGTGAGGAACGAGGAGACGTGGAGTACATCAACAAGGAAGTTTTAATAGAAACAAGGTAACCAGGAAAACACACATAGCTGAGAAGGTGGACATCAACAGACATTCACAAAACACGGAACACAGTAAATTAATCATTTTGTAAATGAATCTGACAGCAAATTAATCATTTTTAAGTGAACTATCCCTTTAAGAATACTCAATTCCTGTGATAAAGTCATTGTACCGAAAAGCCTTCAGTGACTTATTATTTTCAATGTTTTTGATGTGAACATTCATTTTGGCCATAGCTGTTTTGAAGCACATCATGATTGCCTTTGATGTCAGTTCAAGTCTTTTGAGAGTGACCCTTGAGGGAGACAAAAGCCATCAAAAGTGTTGTCTACTTATGACAAAACTGAAGAGTGACATTAACTTTCTGTCTTAAATAATGAAATAAGCACTTTTAGATGGATGTTTGGCCCTGGAGGTCTGACTAGCATCTCTCAAAGGCCTGGGCTCCAGAGGCAGGCTGGCAGAAGCTCGCTAAGACTCCCCATGACCCCCAAATCTATCGACAGACAGTGTCTTAATAAAGAAGTCTGTTTGTCACTTTGATGTATAAATGCATGAGTCTCTCCGGCCTGAGCAGAACGGGACAGGCCATCAATGTGCAGCTCCGCTAATTCCTCAGCTTCATCAGCAGGGAGAGTCCGAAGGTTTGAAACACGGCTTCAACAATGACAGCCCCTAAAACAATGGAATTGGAGGAGAGGAGCGATCTAAAAAAATAATTATATAAAATAAAAGGGTTGGGGGGCACAGTGGTGAGATGGCAGCTTTTGATCGGAAGTTCAAAGCAAAGAGCAGATGGATGTTTTGAACAATCAGCCAACTTCCCCAGAATTGCGAGGAAGGTGCCAAAGAAAATGGCTTCTCTGTCTTTCTTAAAGCTTGATTTCCATTCTCCCCGGGTCATTGTAGCCAGCTGTTCTCGGTGAGAAAGAGAGAGCTGATGGCCTGGTATCAGCGGGAGGAGGGCGATTTAATCTCTTTATAACTCAACTGAATCTGTGCCACAGCGCGGGTTTCACTGACACTGAGGTCTCACATCAACTTTTGCACTGTCTGTGAACACAGCTCATGTGTCTATATTAAGGTCCTTTTTCTGTGAGTTTATTTGGCGACAAAGTAAGTAACGGTTCCTGGCAAGTATTTTCAATATAAGTAATGTAGAAACACACACACACACACACAATATATAAAGACTCATGACTTAATCATCTTTATGTACCACACACAATATAAAGACTCATGACTTAATCATCTTTATGTACCACTGATTTACTGTATGCTGTTAAAATCCCCCTGCAGTCACACTGTTATGCCTTCAAACTCATCTTTGATAATCAAAAAATTACATATTCAAAGTTTCTTCCCAATAAAATACTGTCTTAATATCTTAAAATGACTTGAACATAATTCTACACCCTTACCTCATTAAGTATACCCGGAAGCATGAATATGCAAATTAGTCCCTGCCTCCATTAAATCACACCAGCTCAGACTACCTGCTCCACTTTCACTCAGTTAACTTTATTAAATGTTATACAAAGGCAAGTGGCAAAATTAGATTAACTCATCCATATTTGTTTGAACCAGAAACTGATTAATTCAGAAGAAATGGGAAGTGCAAATTATACTGTATGTTGTCCTCTACAAGTCCATGCATCAGAATCATAACACACTTTATGTATCGCTCTCTACAATGTCAGACACATAACATAACTGATATCATTATCCTTTGGCTTGACTACATTATCAAACAGCTAATAATATACTGATAATGTTACACAAACCATGTTCTTGTTCGACATCTCAGACAGTTACCTTCTAAAAATCAACCTCCTAAGGTAGAAAATGTTTTCTGATGATATGAAAACCCGGCCTCAGAAGATGACGGATTGCTTGTGACAGTAGGTTTATATACATTAAAACAACACAAATACAATAAACACTACAAGAATCACCACAGACAATCGTGGAATCTGAGTCAAATGTATAGTCCAGAGTGAAAATATACATTTCTGTCATGACAACTCTCGGAGGGATTGGCATGGTAATGTACATGACAATGTTAATGTATTTGGTCTTAGCGGAATAGATCTGCTACACTTCTGCTGCGGCAGAGCAAGTACCGAGACTTGCTACTGCCAATACATCCACAACATGCTGCCTTGAGCATGTAAGAAATATTGCTGCTGCAAATATAACATACATGAAATAACCCCCATATAGCATACATGAATCACCTCGTAGCAGATCTATACAGGTGGAGCTGGGGAAGGTGGAGGGTTTCTGAAGCAAGCTGCAACTGCTACTGCAAGCACGAATCATATATTTGAATGTTAAGCAGCGAGCTTATTGGCTACCGATACAGGAGAGAACCAATCAGCTGTGCCATGTGATTATGATGTCATTAGGTTAGATTGAGTTAGACCTATCGGACTGTGCCATCTAGAGTTTCATGCCAGAACTCTGCATATATCTGACCCAACAGTCCAAACAGAATGAGCAGCAGAGTAACCATAATAGTCCCTCGTGATCAACCCGTGTCGAACCGCTTCTCGAATACCACAGAACCCGAACACTTGAGTACACTATGCGGTACTCTATAGCTTAGCTTTCGTCTCACTTCATAAGGGTTACACTGGTGTAGTGCTTTTGATCTAGCGGTTTGGGTCTGTGCGATGAATTTAAACATTTTGCAGTTTTTGCCCTATGGAGCTGTCTGTCAAAATCTCTAAATGAATAATCTATTGCTAAAACATATATTCCTTAACACATAATGTGTTATTCCCTTAACTAATCTAATTATAGCCCATCTGTGCATCTAATTCATTTTAAGGTATAAAGTTCAAATAATATCAAGATGAAAAACTTTGAAAGCTTGAAAATGAAGCTGAAGTAGATGCGATGACGTACAGGGGTTAGGTTATACGTTATTTATTTTTCCAGAAAATACTGTGAATATATTCTGTCTATCTGTAGTCAAATTTTGTTTTCTCCATAATGTTTGTCTGAGCATTTTCCGTCCTGGCTTCTTTGCATGTGAAATAAGATACATGGATTTGCTGGAGCAGTGGGTTTTGCCCATTAAGGCAATTGCCATATGCATTTTTTTCTTCAGTTTAGGCTCTTAAAGAAATGCCCACTTTGATTTCCTGATAAATTTCATATTTAGATGCTAATTCGCATAAAATTATTCTAGCGGGGCT